AGGAGGAGGAGGAGGAGGAGGAGGAGGAGGAGGAGGAGGAGGAGGAGGAGGAGGAGGAGGAAGACGAGAAGGAGGAGGCGGACCTCCCCGTCCTCCCTTCTCCCCCATCCTACCTATGGTGGGGGTGGTGGAAAACTGGCCCATCACACCCCTCGGAGATTTGGGTCCGAGCTCCGACCCACGAGCCGCGGCAGGGCCCGTCTGAGGCGGTGGCCCCACCCTCGGCGGCCCCGGAGCTGGGCGGCGCAGCGGGGCCTGAAGGGAAAAGAGAAGCGGCCTGGGCATTCGCTTCCCGAGGTCCGCGGGGATGTCGTGGATCGGCGCTGGGTCATGTTCCTCCTCCTCCTCATCCCCCCCCTCCTCCTCCTCCTACTCTACTCCTCCTCACTCCCTCCTCCTCCGCCTCATTCCTCCCTCCTCCTACTCCTCCTCCTCCTCCTCCTCCTGCCTCCTCCCTGCCTTCCTCCCGCCTCAGCCCCTGCCTCCTCCATGCTCCTCCTTCCCTTCCCCCTCCCTCTTTCCTCCCCCTCCTCTTCCTCCCCCTCCTCCTCCTCCTCCTCCGCCCCGCCTCATTCTTCTCTGTATCCTCTGCATCATAAACTACTTGCCTGGCATAGAGGGGCGGGATGTGTGTACATATATCTACGTATACAGTGAAGGCACACACGCTCAATTAGCGACACATCCTTGCCCTCCCCAAGAAGACCGAACCTTTCTTGGTGGAGGGGGCATCAAGCACAAAAGGGACGCCAAAAAGGGGGACACCTTCGATGGCGGCGCCCCCGGCGCCGCCCCTGCGCGCTCCCCAGGCCCCCGACGTGGTGATTTTCTCACAACGTTGACCCCCAGAGGTCTGGACCCCTTCCCCGGGAGCGGATTTTCATCCCGAGTCGTTTTTTGACGGTCGCGGGGCCCGGGCAAGGGCCCCCAAGGGCCGAACATAGCTTTGACTATCCCGTCGTGAATTTTTTGATCGAGCGAACCGGAAGAGGTTCGCTCTCGCCCCGCAGACCCAAAAAAGTTTCTTCATCGAGCGAAGAGGTCTGGGTCCGCCGCGCGCCAAAGATCGGACTCCAGCGCCGACGCCAGGGATCCGGGCGGACCTCCCAGAGTCTGTGCTGCTGCCGCTATTCCTTCTCTAGAACAAAAATGAAGGGGCCCCAGGACACACAAATAAATACACACAGATAAAAGGATTCCCCATCTTCTGCCATATTTTCTGGGTTTTTGTCTTCCCCCCCACTTCCCATATTTTCCAATATTTTCTGGGGAATCGACGATTCATTGTGTCTGTGTGTATTTTTTCCCTTCTGACAAAAAAAATCCTGACACAAACTTTTGGCGTTCCGCGCGGAGTTCTCGGATCTGCGCTGGACCCCCCTCCCTGGCGCGGAGCGAGCCAGGTTGAGCAGGGACCAACCGCCCCGGCATTCCTGAAGTCCAACCACGAAGCATTCCTAGAACCCCAAAAATGTTCTAAGAACAACAACAGTGTTCTTAGAACACAAACCCGATGTGATAAACCAAAGACAGTCCCAACCAGAAATGTTCTAAGAACATGTCGTGGGAACCACACAAGGTTCTTAGAACACTGTTTGGTGGGGCCAAGGCGAGCCAGGACGCTTCGCCACTGCTTGACCAGGGGCGGCGCCGGAGGCGTCGCTGGGGGGGCCCAGCGCGGATCCAAGAAGTCCGCGCGGAGCGCCACAAATTTCTGTTTGTAGCGCTTCCTTTTCTTCTAGGGTCTTGCTGCGCCATGGAAAGGAGGCCGCCGGGGCTCCCGAGGCGGAGGGTGCCGCGGGAAGGGCCCGGGAGGAGGCCTCGAAGGGGCCCTCTTTCTTATTCTTGTTAGTATGATCCTTATTCTTACTATTATTGCTATTATCATGTTTATTATTATCCTGATTATCAGTATGAGTATTCTTAGTAGTATTAATACTACTTTTCTTCTTCTTCGACTATGCTAAGTGTATTTCTACGACTCTGATGATGCTCACGCTTCTGCTTCTGCTCCCAGACATGCGACGTCCTGACTTTTGCCAAGGCAGGGCCCCCTGGGTGTCCCGACCCTGTCCCTCGGACCGGCTTTTCGGCGGTGGACACACCTCCCCTTAGTAAACCTCCCTTTAGTGAAAGCGGCCTGGGAGCGAAACTGGCGGACCTGGACCCGCAAAAATGACGGCCGCGACGCCCTCTCGCGAACCGAAAACGGCCAATTCCTGAATCGACGCGTCAGGGTAGGAGGTCTGTCCACCCCCAAGCTTTTCATCCTGAGAATCGTTTTTGTTGACGCGGCCCCGACGCCCCGCGCCCCCCGCAGGCCGAACAAGGCCACACGCACCTCCAGTCCTGCTGTTCCTACGACGCGATTGTTTTTTATGTCTGGGTTCCCAGAGGTCCAACGTCATGATTTGTTCAGTACGCGGTCCCCCGAAGATGAAGGGGCCCAGGGACACACAAAGAAATATACACAAATAACAGGACTCCCTATATTGTCCTGAATTTTCTGGGTTCGCGGTCCCCCGAAGTCTCGACCCTTTCCCCGGGACCGGTTTTTCATTATGAGTCGTTTTTTGACGGTCATGGGGCCCGGCAAGGGCCCCTATACAGAGGCCGAAAGTCGAGAAACACCTCCGCCTTGATCTTTTTGATTCGTTGGAGGTCTGGGTTTTTGCTCCTGCCTGCGGCGTTTCCTTTTGAGCAGGGACCAACCGTCCCTGCATTTCTATAGTCCCACCATGCAAAATGTTCTTAGAACGCAAAAATGTTCTAAAAACAAAAACAATGTTCTTAGAACATAAAACCCATGTGTTGAAACAAGGCGCTCTCCGCCAGAAATGCTACAAGAACATTTCGTGGAAACCACATAAATGTTCTTAGAACACTGCTTGGTAGGGCTATAGGCGAGCCAGGACGCTTCGCCACTGCTTGATCCTTCTTAACTCGATTCTCCGAGGGCCGGCGAGTGGCGCCAGCACTGGCGCCGCGGAGGCGCCGCCGGCGGCCCCCCGCTGGCCGAGGCGCTCCTCGCTGGGGCCCGCCGCGGCCGCCTCGGGCGCCGCGGCCGCCGCGGGCGCGGGCCCCGCGGCTCCGGTCGTCGGCGGCGCGGCGGCGCAGGGGGCCGCGGCCTCCTCGGGATAGAGGGCGGGGGGGCGCAAGTCTTTCGCCAGTTTCGGCCCCTGGGGTTAGGTCCGAGCATGTTCTGAAGGTGGAGGGCTCAGGGTGAAATCCAAATGGGCTTTTGCACCTCGAGAATCAATTCGTCTTGTGGTTCACCTGTTGCACGTTCAAGCCTCGAAAATCCATCGAAACGGCATTTCAGATTTCACCCTTTGCCCGCCACCCAAAGAGAATGCTCGGTAGGTCGGGCCTGTCCCCCTACAGGGGGATTTTGGACGAAAGCTGAAAACTACGCAGAACATGTGCAAACGATGCCCAGAAATACGCAAAAAAAAATCCCCAGGCTCATTTTTACTATGTTTGAATATTCTCCCTGTAGAGGGACAGGCCCGACTTAACCCTGGGGGCCCTCGCCGATCCCCGGGAGCGTCAACAGAACTAGTCAGGATGAAAAACCGGCCCTGGGGAAAGGGTCGGGACTTGTGGGGACGCCGCACTGGAAAAATCAGGACGTCGCGTGTCTGGGACAAAAATCGCGGCGTTTTTTTTTTTTTTTGCTGTTTTCGGCCTCTGGGGGCCCTCACCGGGCCTCGCGGGACCGTCAAGAAACGATCCGGGATGAGACACCAGTCCGGGGGAATGGGTCGAGACCTCCATGGGGGGTCGACGCCATGAAAAATCATGACGTCGGGGGTCTGGGTTCTTGTCCCCTGATTTGCTCGCATCGTGACAAGAATCACGGGCTGTTTTTTGGAAATTTGCGGCCTCCGGGGGCCCTCGCCAGGCTTTCAGGAGGTGTCAACAAAAAAAGCTCGGGCAGAAATCGAGGGGCCCGCAGAGGGGAAAAACAGCACATCTCAGATCTGGGAAGGGAGGACGGGAAGGTTCATTCTTAGGTACTAGACAAGCGGGGAAAAATGAAGACTCGATTGCGCCAGAACTCGGGTTTGCCGACGCTGTTTGACGAGCGCGCCCTGGAATTTGACGGTCCGGTTTTCGAGTGATGTTTGCAGCGGGAGCTCGCGTCAATTTTAAGATTAGGTCTCGTCGCTGTCATGTCCTATAAATTCGAAAGTTTTCGCGGCCGTTAGCCACGAAGGGAGTCTCAGTGTTCCAGGTGGAGAGTTTGAACGGCTTCTTCGGTAGAGAGGGGCGCGCGTTAAGATCGCGAAGTGGGCATTCGAATTCAGGACCCGCATCGTCCGAAGATGACGTCGCAGAACAGGAAAGCAAAGAGGCAGAGGACATAGGGCCCACTGCTGCCGAGCACTGTCCGACATCAAGGCCCCACGCAGACGGAACATCGAAATCTGCCACGTCTCGTCCATGTGACGAGCTCGCCCCTTGCGGGGAGAGGTGGTCAACAAGTATGGTGATCGTGCCAAAGGCCATCCCTAGTGCCCGAATATCTGCCGCGCTCGTGCTCATGATGTGCCTGCCGAGCGAGTCGACCCTGGCCCTCGGAACCGGGAGACCTCTTATTAGGAGGCAACTACTGGGAGGTTTTCGTCGGAAGGATTAAAAGGAGGATTAAGCCCCATTTGGGAGCTGTTACGCCGGAGTGGGCCTCGGACTAAACAGGATTGAGCCGGATTAAGCGGGATTAAGCGGGATTAGGCCGGATTAAGCCGGATTTCGGACCAGGGCAAAATCAGAATTTGACTCCCAGGAGTTGCATCCGAACTCTTATCTCCGATGGCCCAAAAACCCATTGCGGAGGCTATTGCCTGATATCCGCACAGCTGAGACACATACTTTCTTAGCAACCAGGTGCTGCTTGAGGGAGTCGTGATACTTTGACAGGACCCGCTGGCGCACGCAGGTGTCCTGAGAAAGCTTGCGAGCCCTGATGGTGCACTGCCTCTCCGAGCGCGGGTCAGTCCGCGCGGGACTGCTCTGATCGAGGGCGACCCGGAACGTCTTCGCCGACTCGCTGTTCTTGGATTTCAACAGGCAACTCCGGCTGACAGCCGCGAGGTTCACCTCAGACAAGGTCCTCTGCTCAGGTGGAACGCGCGCATCCATGACTTCATGCCAAGCTTCCCGATGCGATCGAGCGATGGGATTTGGCCACCAATGTGTCCAAATCTGAATATCACCCGAATCTCCAGCCGAAGTGAGGTCGACCAGTTTTGGCGAGCCCCCCCCAAAAAATCATCCTCCTCTTGTTGCCCCCCGCCGTGCTGATGGAAGGAGCGGCCGAGGACTCAGGCCTTGCTTGACGTCTCCGTGCGACCATCTTGGCCTCCAGAGAAGCAGTGCGGCCATCGATCCTCCTGGCGTCATTGTCGATCTGTTCCCCGAGTGCACGGAGGTTCTCGCTCGTCTCTGCCACCTGCCCGGCTCGACTGTGGACCGCGGCGGCCATCTTCGCGATCGCAGGCAACATGGCAGCCGCGTCGACCGCCATCTCTCGGGCTGGGCGAAAGGGGGGGATAGCAAACGGGGGGGTGGAGAATCAACTCACATAGCTGATTTTCCCGGCGCCTCCCGGCGCCGGGAGGCGGCCATGTATCGAGGAATGGTCCCCTCGGTGGGGCCGAAACCAGCTGCATGCAGCAGATTTCGTAACCCCCCCTTTCCAAATCCCCCCCTTTCGTCCGGCCCGAAACATGGCAGCCGCGTCAACCGCCATCTCAAAAACTGGTGAGAGAAACGGGGTGTAGACAGAGCATCCCGGGCTGCCGCCGGGAGCGTGCTGCTGCCCCATCTGAGGCTCATGCCAGGGAGGTCGAGGAGGAGGAGGAGGAGGAGGAGGAGGAGGAGGTCGAGGAGGAGGAGGAGGAGGAGGAGGAAGAGAACAAGTCGTATGATGTGGGCGGAACTGCGCAAGGCTGTCCGGGACTCCCGCGAGCCGGCACGGCCCTGCACCGCCTCGAGCATTCGTTCACTGAGCCACAAACAGGCTTGAGCCACACTGGCCACGGAGGGCGATGCTGATGATGCTTACCAGCCTGGAACATATCCCTATCCCTATGCTGGGCACCTCCTCATTACGATGCCAATCTTAGGGATTGCCTTATTTTTTGAGGGCGAATCCCTAAGATTGTCATCGCCTTTTGGCGTGTCAATCTTAGGAATAGGGATACGTTCGAGGCTGGTAAGATGCTGCTCTGCTGATGATGGTGACGACGATGATGGCGACCACGCTGACGCTGACGATGAACAAAAAGATGGTGGTACTGCTGGCGATGATGAAAGCACGGATGGGCAGGAGGAACACAAGCACGAGGAAAGTCACTTGCCTCTGACCCTTCATGCAGTCTGCACGCTGGTGGCGACCAGCTGCATCCCGACTGAGGCCAGCGTTACTCCGTATTCGCGTATACCCTGCTCGCGACCCGATACCACCCAGAGGTAACAATTACGTACTTCGCAGCGTGGGCTGCTTTCTCTGTAAGCCCTGGGGCCCGAGGCGGACCCCCGCGGGCACTCAGCCCCGGGACGCCCACGCTGGCGTCGCCATCGCGGCGAGGCACCACGAACTCGCGACCCTGCACAGCCCCGAGGCGAGCTGGAGCGCCGGTGGAGGGCTGGGCCCGCAAGGGGGGGGGCATCGACCTGGAACTTTTTTTTTTTAAAAAAATTTTTTTTGGGGGGGGCATCGACCTGGAACTGAGGAGACCTCGCGGCGGCATCGGCGACGTGATCGGCCCCCGCGGGCGAAGCCGCACGCCGCTCCCTGGCGGGGCTTTGGGGCCTCGGGCCCCCGTCGGCGAGTGAGGGTCGATCTCATTCTTTCGGGGATGGACAGACCCCCCTTTAGTAAAACGTGGTTTAGTGAAAACGACCTAAGGCCCAAACCTGGCGGGCGCAAGCCTGGAAAATAACGGCCACGACGCCCTCTCGAGAACCGAAAACGGACAATTCACTAATCGACGTGTCACTGTTGGGGGTTCTGTCCACCCCCGATTCTTGTGACACAGTTTTGGACACCGCTCCTTTCAGCGGCGATGGAGGGTGACCGAGGGTCGATGCGTTCCTCCCCGAGGCTGTCCCCCCCCCCCCCAGGAAAGCCCGGAACCGAACCGACAAGTCTGGCCATCGCTCGGACGTCGATTCCCTGTGCTTTTTTCGGTTTCGTGCGTGGTTTTTTGACCAAATGATAAAGGATTCTCCTCGATGGTCCTCGCCGAAGGAAAAATGCACACGTCCGAGCGATGCCAAGAAGCCGGATCGGCGGTCGAACCGCATCGGACCGGCGGAACTCGGCAGCCAAGCCGGGAGAAGTCGCATCGGCAGAACATCGGCAGGCCAGCGGGCCCCCCTCGAGGAATCGGAGCCCGAGGCGGAGTCCGAAGTCGAGCCGAATCCCATCGGAGGCCATCGAAATCGAACACGTCGAGTCGAAGTCCGAAGTCGAAGTCCGAAGTCGAAGACCGAAGCCCGGAGTCCGAAGTCGAGTCGGATCGAGTCCGTCGAGACGAGCCCTGCCCCCCGACGCTGCCCCGGCAGAGGAGAGGCGCGGCAGCGTGCGAGGAGGAGGAGGAGGAGGAGGAGGAGGAGGAGGAGGAGGAGGGAGGAGGAGGAGGAGGAGGAGGAGGAGGAGGAGGAGGAGGAGAGGAGAGGCGCGGCAGCGTGCGAGGAGAGGTCCTCGGCGCCGCCGCCGCCCGCGGCCGCCGGGGCCGCCTCGCCGCCCGCCGCGCTCCGAGGTGCCCCGGGCCGCTCGCGCTGTGCGTCGGCGGCCCGAGCGTCTTGCTCCTGGCACGGGGGGGGGGACACGATCTGACGACCTGCCAGACTTAGGAGGCAACTACTGGGAGGTTTTCGTCGGAAAGATTAAGGAGGATTAAGCCCCATTTGAGAGCTGTTACGCCGGAGTGGGCCTCGGACCAAGCAGGATCAAGCCGGATTAAGCGGCATTAAAGCTGGATGTAAACCGGATTAAGCGGGATTAAGCTGGATTAAGCCGGATTTCGGACCAGGGCGAAAACAGAATTTGACCCCCCAAGAGTTGCATCCGAATGACACGATCTGACGACCTGCCAGACCACCCCAACCCAGCCCGAAGGCCCGCATTTCGGGGCTGGGGGTGTACGGGCTTCGTGTGTGCTGTTCCCATGTTCCCCGACCCCTACCCACTCCTTCGGGTTGGGTTGGGGCGGTTTGGTTGGCGGGGAGTCTGCGTGCCAGCTCCGGTAACCGGAGCGGTCCCCTAGAGGGCAGACCGTGCGCTGAGCATGTCGGAAGATGAATGTCGGCAACGAGCACACGCAAGAAAATGCGATTCATAAATCCTCTGGTGTGCAAGTTTTCGGTCAGAGAAACCCTGCCGGCTAAGAAGAGCCCGCATTCCGGGTTGGGGGTGTACGGGCTTCATGTGTGCTGTTCCCATACTCCCCGATCCCTCCCCGCTCCTGCGGGTTGGGTTGGGGTGGTTTGGTTGGCGGTGATCATCGGCGGCGGGCGAGCGGGGGACATGAGAAGGAGAAGGCCTTCTCAGAAGGCGGCGGGACTTCTGGGAAATTGTCTGCGTCTTCGGGGGAGGCTCAGAAAGCTTCTCGGAAGGCCGGGGGACGTCCGAGCCTTCTGAGAAGGCCTTCTCCTTCTCACTTCCCCTCGGGCTCGCCGCCGACACAATGCACCACCACCACCACCACCGATCCTTGGTTCAAATATCGGGGGTCCTGAGGGATGAGGCCCTGAGGACGAGGTGCCTCAGACAGCGCAAATTCAACCCTGTGTCTGACTACCTACCAGACCCGAAGACCCGAATTTCGGATTGGGGGGGTACGGGTTCCATATGTGTCTTCACAGTGCTCCCCGACCACCCCCCCACTGGAAATGGAGGGCAAATTGAGGCCCTCGGGTTGGGTTGGGGTGGTTTGGTGAGTGGTGAGTATCCCTTCCTATCCTGAGGGCCCCGTCCCTTCACATGGGCTCCCAACTTCGCGCTTCGCGCTGCGCGAAGCGCAAAGTGCGAATAACTTCGCGCTCTCGCGCCGCCTCCCAGGGGAGAAGGGGAGGATGAGGAGGAATCGGAGCCAAACCGCGAAGCGCGAAGAACTTCGCGCCCTCGAGGGTGCCCTTGGAGTATCCCTTCCTATCCTGAGGGCCCCGTCCCTGCAGAGCCCAGGCTCCGAGCCGCCGAGCCGAGCCTCCGCGGCCGCTCGGCTCCTGGCCAGGCCCGTGGGGACCGTGCGCCCCAAGACCCGGCCCTGGAGCGGGCACCAGAGGAGGCCCGACCACAAGAAACCTGAAAAGAAAGAAAGCAGAACTCCATTCATCACAAGTCTTTATTGTTTTAAACAGCGAAAATAATAGAGGAAAGGAACTATGCACATACACCGATTCTGGCCAGGTCCAACCCTAAGCCCAGGATCGGTGCATACGCCCTCTTAGCTTGGCCAGGAAGGTATATGCACCGATCCTGGGTCAAGGATGGGCGTTGCCAGGATCGGTGCATGTGCATAGTTCTCTTCGCCCGAAAATAACAACTAACAATTCAAAACAAAAGAAATAATTATAGGATAGATGTTGATGATGTTATTTCCTTCCTGTTTTGAATAAGAGTGTTCATGATTTGTTTCAGCACAAGACACCCAACCCTGAGGCACCAGGAAGTCCATCGATTTTTGGCGTGGGAACGTCGCGCTTGCCGAAGCAAAACCACCGAAATCCGAGAAACCCAGGGCACCCTGGAGGCAAGCAGAGTGTTTCTTGGCATGGGCCTCCACTGTAGTGCGGACGCCCGGTAATGGCGAACACTCGTGCTGCATCTTCGGGGGAACCTTGTCTGTCCCGTCGCGCCGCTCTCCGCACCGAGTCCGCCCAGAACCACCGTAACCACGTCGAAGCCGCGCCGAAGCCGCGTCGAACCCGCGATACGTCGGACACCAGAGAGGGACCGCCAATGAGCTAGCTGGGCAGGCCAGACGAGATCCCACGAATTGGCAACGTAAGGTTAAGTCGGGCGGGTCCCCCTACAGGGGGATTTTCGACGAACATAAAAAACCCAAACATACTCCAAAAGGGTACAAAAAATACTCAAAACATAATCCCCAGACTATTGTTCGACGATTTTCGAATCTTCCTCCTGTAGAGGGACAAGCCCGACTTAAACTCGGGGAGACGTAAGACTCGGGTACGGGGGACTCGGGTTGGCCCGACGGGGCCATCATAAAAATGACGAGGCCCGGTCTGAAATCTGACGCGAGCTCCCGCAGCAAACATCCCACGACAACTGGACCGTCAAAGTCCGGGACGCGCTCGTCCAAAAAAACGTCGGCAGACCCGAGTTCCGGCTCGCTCGGGTCTTGCGTTCCCCTCCATAACCGTACGGACGCACGGCGTCTGCCTGCCCCCGCCCGCGGTCCCCCGAAGACTCGAAGTCGTCGTCGCCGTAGGGGTCGGAGCCCGCCGATCCCTTGGAGATGGCCGCCCCCTCAGTCTTGGCACGCGCCCCCTCGCCCTCGAAGTCCTCGCTGTCCTCGGGCGGGGCCGGCGCTGCAGGTCCGACGGGGCACTGGGACACACAACCAAACAGACACACATAACCAGATTCCCCACAGGTTCCCATGTGTTCTGGGATCCTGTCTTCCCCCACACTTCCCATGTTTTCCCAAATGTTTGGGGGAATCGTCGATGACTTGTGCCTGTGTGTCCTCTTCCCTCCTGAAAGTCGTCTGTGTGGGTTCACCAGATTCCTCATATCTTCCCATATTCTCTGGGATTCTGTCTTCTCCCCCCCCCATTTCCCATAGTTTCCCATATCTGCTGGGGAATCGTCGATGAATTGTGCCTGTGCGTTTTTGTTTCCCTCCTGAAAGTCGTCTGTGTGGGTTCACCCCTGCGGCCCCCTCTTCCTGCCCTCCCCCCGCCCCTCGGCCGTCGCCCCGTGTCGCCCTCCCTCCGCCCCCCCCCGCTTCCCAGATCCCCCCCCAGATCCCCCTCGGGCAGTTAAGGAATCGTGGCGGGAGGCGTCTTGCTAATTTTCGGCCTCCTGGGGGCCCTTTTGGCGGCGCGCACAAGGGGGTGGAGGGAGGGGGGAAGGCTTCTTAGAAAGAGGCTGCTTCTTAGAAGGCGCCGGCCTCACATCTATAGATAAAGCCCGCGCCTTCTAAGAAGCAGGGGTGCGTCTAAGAAGCCCTCCTCTCTCCCCCCACCCCTCTTTGCGCGTGGCTGACCCTTACTGGCCCTCGAGACCGTCAAACAACGACTCAGGATGAAAACCCGATCCAGGGAAATGAGTCCAGACCTCCAGGGTTCGACGCAATGAAAAACTCATGACGTCGGGGGTCTGGGTTGCATGGTGGCACCAGCCGCTCGTCGCCTGCCCCGCTTCCCTCCCTTCGCCGGCGCAGTGGCTCTGTCTGCCTAGCCGCCGACGCAAAGCAAGATCGTCTGGGTTCAGCCCGGCTGGTCACCCGCAGGATTTCCCCCCCCCCCCCCCACCCCCCATCCCTGCTTCGGGCCAGCCCCGTGACCCTGCCGGCGTGGCGCTTTTGGCCCTGCCTTCGAAGAGAAGACCGGCCGTGGCGGCGACGGTTCCCCCCGAGAGCCCCCCCCCCTGCCCAGCGCAGGAACACGTCGGTTACTTTCCTCCTCCCCTCCCTCTGTCCTCGCTCCTCCATCTCTCCTCCTCCTCATCCTCCTTCCTCATCTCATCGTCCGCCCTCCTTCTCCTCCTTCTCCTCCTCCTCCTCTTCCTCCTCCTCCTCCTACTCCTCCTCATTATCCTCCTCCTCCTCTTCCTCCTCTTCCTTCTCTTCCTCCTCCCTCCTCCTCCTCCTCCACGCGCATGGGACTGCTGGGTACCAAGGGCTTGACCATGAGACTGCAGACGCAGCTGACGGAGCCAGAACAGAAAATCCAACTCTCCCAGCCCGATCCCGATACCTTCCTGCGCACCGCTTGCTGGCGTTGTCACGCCCGACATGCGGATCAGTTGTCGCCCAGTTTCGGGTCAGTCAGCCGAGCAGCATCTCGGACATTGCAGGCGTAAATCTGTAAAGCTGGGAGTCGGGCATCACCGAAAAGAAACAGCCTGAACAGGCTCGAGTTCGCAAATGGCAGAGAGAGAGAGAGAGAGCACAGAGAAAACGCACACGGAAATCATGAGAAGTCATGGACCTTCTTCTGGAGTAGGCGTACGGGAAGAGCTCCATAACGTCATGCTACAATTGAGACTGGTACGCAACAGTGGATTTCTGTCTTCTGTGAAACTGCCACGCAGGCTGGAGCCTTGGGTGCAATACCCATCTTCTCGATTGCGTGGGCGCTGCAATACACCACATGTGTGCGTACAAAACCACAAGTAGTCTGGGACGCAACTAAGAAAGATCGGCGCCATACTGTGTTGTTATAGCTGTAAGTCACCACGTATGGAGAACGTGTTTCATGTTTTGCGCAGTCGCAGCCGTTGCACAGGCCCCGCCCCCGCCGTGCTGGCGCCGTCTGGGAATGTCCAGGAGTACCCAAGAAACCTCGAAGAACAGATACGTACTGGAACCTGCTATGGTCGAGCGTGCACCATGCTCTGGATACGCAAAGGCCCGCGATGGATAGCAAAGGACAGCTGAACGCAACGTAGGGGGTGATGGGAAAAGAATATGGCTTTACTATATCCACTCCCTTCCCTACTTCGCCTCCTCCTCCTCTCCCACATCCTCCCTCCTCCTCCTCCTCCTCCTCCTCCTCCTCCTCCTCCTCCTCCTCCTCCTCCTCCTCTCCCACGTCCTCCTCCTCATTCTCCTCCTCCTCCTCCTTCTCCTGCTCCTCCGCCTCCGCCTCCTCCTCCTCCTCCTCCTCCTCCTCTCGTCGTCGTCTTCCTTCTCCTCAGTGCATTGTGTAGAGCTCTTCGCACAGTGTGGCAGAGGAGCGGAGGGAATCGAGAGGAGGGAAAGGGGGGCGAGGCAGGGGGGGGCCAGCCCGCCAGGACCTGCCCGATGCCACTTCTGCGACCGACTCGCGCTACGGGGGGGGGTCTAGGCGCCCCTGGGCCCGAAGGGCGAAGGGGCCTCGTCGTCGTCGCCCTGCCCTGCCTCTTCCTCGTGCTCCTCCACGTGTCGTCCCACGTCTCCTGCTTTCGTAGGCGCTTCGTGGCACAGCGGCGTGCACGCCACATCGCTGGGGCAGGATGTGGGCTTGCAGAACGGCGTCAGCCCGTGAGATACACGCACGCCACTCCCAATTCATCCTTTCTACCAACGCACTGCTTCCTTTTTTCTGAAGGATCGGACTCGGATATCCAACTCTCACCCAGGCTGGCCACGTCATGTGTATACACTTACGGGAACGAGACACAGGACAAATGTCCCGTTGTATTGGGATCAATATTCCGAACGACGACGGGGGGAGGATAAGAGGAGGGAAGGATGGAGGAGGAAGGATCGCGGAGGAAGAGGAGGATGAGGAGAAGGAGAAGGGAGGCGTTCTGCCGTAGCAGATCCGTATAGGCATGCGCGCCCTGCCGTAGCAGATCCCGATCGGTATCTGATATCGGAGCTGTCTTTAGCTATTCCTAAACATTCCCAGACGGCGCCGGCACGAAACGTGACGTTACGGGCCCCCTCCCCCCTTCCCTGGTGACGCCTGTCATCGCCCAGGAGAAGAACGCTGTCCTGTTCAACTGTAACCGGAACTTCCGCCAGTGCGCACCTCGATGCACAGCGCAATGCTTGGTGGGATTGTCCCTCCGGTCGGGTTATTATGTTTGCTACGCCCCTCCCCGTTCGCATCCGGCCGCGTGCACACCCCCTCCAGCGGCTCCCTGGGCGCTCGCCTCTCCCTGGCGGTCTCCAGCACCTCCTTGATGCCCAATCTCCCCAGACGGCTGCGGGACCCATCCCCGAAGAGGGCCCAAGGGCGTCCAGGAACCCGCAAGAGGCAGCCAAGAAGCTGCAGGAAGCTTCCATGAGGCCCTCCAGGAGGCCTCCATAACCGACAGCTCTTTATGCTAAATGTATTATGCCTGTCGCCATTGCTCGTCCTAAGAAGCCGCAGGAAGCCACGAGTGTCGCCAATAATGCCATACGGGACTGCATGAGCACCCCAAGATAGCCAGGACCAGCGCAAGATGGCCCACAACGCAAACTGGACGGCACAAACACCCTCCGAACTTACTCCAAACATCCTCCAAGATAACCGCAAGACTCTCCTCCAAGATGGCCTGAAGACTGAAGAGAACTCCCTTGAAACTCCCAGATATCCGATGCCACATGCTACGGACATTTGGGCCATCGGAAATCCAGCTGTCATATTCGCAGTCCTTACCCCCACTTGTGCTGAAAAGCTATTACATGCTACGGCCCTATTGTTCCCAGAGCAGACCGATGGCAGTGCGGATGACTAGCGACAATGCCGTTGCGAAAACATGCAACAAACGATCGACGATCGGGGAGGAAGGCGTGGCCGATTGGTTGCTACGGCCCCCTGGGGCCCAGAGAAAAGAAGGAGGTGCCACGGGTTGCCCCTCCGGCTCCCTGGGGGGCCCGAGAGACACGGCAGTCGCACGGCACGGCCATCTCTCTGGACCCGGACTCGCGTACAGACGCTCGGCTGCTCGTGCCAAGGCCCGCTCGGTGCGCACTGAGCCCACACTCGCTCGCACACTGGCTCGCCCATAGACGGCTGCCTCGACGCACCCGTGCTCGCGGTCGCTCCTGCTCAGACCCCCTCGCGCTCACACGCACTCGCCCTCGGTCTCACTCACTCACACTCAGACCCACTCGTACCGAGCCTCACTGACGCTCGGACTCCTCGCCCCGTCCTCCCAGGGGGGAGCAGCCAGAACGTGTTGGCAGGGCCTGTTCGCGCGCGCGTGCTGCCGAGACCTCTCTCAAGCAGAACGCTCGCTCTGATCCTGCAGACGAGTATCCGCCACCGCGCCCCCTCGCGCGTTGATGCGTGGTAGACTAACTGACTACCTACCAGACCACCCCAACCCAACCCGAAGACCCGAATTTGACCCCAATTTCGGGTTGGGGGGGTACGGATACCATGTGTTTTTTCAACGTTCCCCGACCCCCCCCCACTGGAAATCGAGGATAAATTTGGGCCTTCGGGTTGGGTTGGGGTGGTTTGGTGGGTGGTGAATAACAAGTACTGTCTAGTAGGCTTCTTGCATTCCAACGAGGGGTCGCGGACTGGTGCGTGCATCGCCCCAACTCCCCAGACCACAACCCGTCGTAAGAAGCGATGGGTCTGCGTTCCCAAGGCCACGATCCCTCGTGAAACGTTAAATGCCCATGTCCAGAACTTCCAAGACATCCCAGGCAGGCAACCGATACGGTACGAGATATCTCGAAGACGGCCAAAGGAGTCCCCAAGGCGGCCAAATATGGGTTCAAGACGGCCCATGATTCCTCCAAGAGAGCCGCAAAAGGACCTCCGACCTACCATTGATTTCCGCTGGGTTGTTCGGTGGGTGTTGCATTCCCGTCATTACCGGCTGCCGCCAGCTCAAGACGGCACACGAAGTATCCACGACGGCTCCAAGACGGCCCACGAGGCGCCCAAGAAGGTCCCAAGATGGCTCAAGAGGACCCCACGATGGCCCAAGGGGCATCCTCTACAGCTCTAAGACGGCCCAAGACGCGTCCAAGAGGGTCCCAAGATGGCCCAAGAAGACCTCACTGTGGCCCAAGCAGGATCCAACACGGCTCCAAGCTGGCCCAAGAGGCGTCCAAGAGTGTCCCAGAATGGCCCAAGAAGACCCCACTGAGGCCCAAGAGGGATCCAACACGGCTCCAAGACGGTCCAAGCGGGCCTGATCCTAGACGCCCTTCGAAGGCCCTTTCACGGCCCAAGACGGCACCCCCGACATCCACCGTGCTGCCAAGAGGGCCCAAGACGGCCCAAGCGAGCCCCGAAACGGCGCACGAAGGCCCCAAGGCGGCTCGAGAAACCTCCGAAAGAGTCCCAACATGGACAGCCGCATTATCTAGGCGGCGAGCGAGGGGGGGAAATGAGAAGGAGAAGGCCTCCTGAGAAGGTTCGGAAGTCCCCCGGCCTTCTGAGAAGTTGTCCAAGACTTCCCCGAAGACAGAAAAAACTTCTCAGAAGGCCTCCGGCCTTCTGAGAAGTCCCGCCGCCTTCTGAGAAGGCCTTCTCCTTCTCAGTTCCCCCCCTCGCTCGCCGCCGATTATCGCGTTTTCAGGCGTCCGTCAACTCAAGGACCCTCGACGGCACAAGACGGGCGCCAGGACGGCCCACGGCGGATCCCCAGGCACCCGCCCCGTGCGGCCGAGAGAGCCCCACGCCGGCCCCAAGAGAGCTCCAAGCTGGCCGAAGAAAACAACCCAGACTGCCGAAGACAGCCCCGACACGGACCCGAGGGACCGGCGCCCGGAGCAAAGCGCAGCCGTGCCTCCTGGCGCGTTGAGGCGCGAGGGAGTGCCGAGGGCTGCCTGACAGGTGTCCTCTGCCCTCCTCCTCCCTCTCCTCCTCCTCCTCCTCCTCCTCCTCCTCCTCCTCCTCCTCCTCCTCCTCCTCCTCCTCCTCCCTCCTCATCCTCCTCCTCCTCCTCCTCAATCCAGGCCGTCCTCCTCCCTCATCCTCCTCCTCCCCTCCTCCTCCCCTCCTCCTCCTCCTCCCCCTCCTCCTCCTCCTCCTCCTCCTCCTCCTCCTCCTCCTCCTCCAGGCTTCCTGTGTTGTGCAGGGAACTCCCTCCTCCCCCTGCCCGCGGACGCCCGCGCTCACCCCCACCTGCACTCGCCGAGGCCGCTGCCCCCGTGCCCGCTCGAGGGTGGTGCACTCCCACAACGGCAGCCAATGCGTTGCAGTCGGCCTTGATTGGAGAGGGCGCGCGTGAGGCCACAAGACCCCTCCGAGGGCCACCTCGCCACAGGAATGTAGGAAGCATGGGGTCGCGAGACACAGGACGACAAGCGTGCCCTCGAGGATGGTGCACTTCCACAACGGCTTCTACAGTCAAAAACCCTAATAAGGACGCGCGGTAAGGACGCAAGACCCTTGGAAGCCGAAGTTGGGATTCTCGGGGCGGCGGACGACGAACACCACAAGGACGCAAGAGCAAGGACGAGCAAGGACGCAAGGGTACCCTGAGCAAAGTCGCGCGTCCTCATTCGGGTTTTTGAGCGTAATGCGTTACAGTCGGCCTTGATTGGAGAGGGCGCGCGTGAGGCCACAAGACCCTTCCGAGGGCCACCTCGCCATAAGAATGTAGGGAGTAGGGGTCGCGAGACACTGGGCGACAAGCGTACCCTCGATTTGGCAGGGTCGACCTACGAATCTGGGCCGACTGTATCCACCATTCCACGCGTGCCCGCTCGAGGATGGTGCATTTCCCGCATGGCAGCGAGTGCCTGAACCACCATGCCAGGCTTAAATCGGGCCTGTCCCCCTACAAAGGGATTTTCGACGAAAAATGAAAAATACCCCCCAAAACTGAAAAAATGGTCCCAAAATAGTCTGGGGACTATTTTTTGAATATTTTGTGACCTTTTTGGGGCATCTTTGAGGCACTTTTTGTTTATCGTCGAAAATCCCCCTGTAGGGGGACAAGCCCGAACCATCATGCCAGGCGCGCCGGCTCGAGGACTGTGCACCTCCCGCAGGGGCAGCTGATGCCGGCCCCCCCCTCCACGAGTGCCCGCTCGAGGAGTGTGACGTCCCGTAGGGCGGCAAATGCCTGACCGATCCTTCCATGCGCGCGCAGTCGAGGGTTGCGCACTTCCCGCATGGCTGCTGCCTCCTAGACCTCTCGTCCCACGCGCACCCGCTCGTGGATCGTGCACGTCCCGCATTCCCAGGCGCTGCTCCTCACCGCTCCTGGGCCTCCCAAGCAACGATCCTAAATTAAGAACGATTGATCTGCGTCCTGAGCTTCCAAGACGGCCCGTGCAGGCAACCAAGGACACCAAGATGGCCCAAGATGCATCGAAGACGATCCAAGAGGGCCTCAAGGCGGCCGAGTATTGATTCACAACGGCCCAAGATGCCTGCAAGACGGCCCAAAATGGCCACAAGAGGATCTCCACCAGGGCCCGAAGGAACCCAAATTATGGATGTTCCTTGGATTTCTGAATGAATTTCGCATTCTCGCCTTTCCGGGCGGCCGTCAGCTCAAGACGGACCAAGAGGACCCCACGATGGCCCAAGGAGCACCCAAGACGGCCCGAAGACGGCCCACGAGGACCTCCCGTGAGACCCAAGGCGGCCTTAGAAGGCCCATCGACGGCCCAAGACGGCGGCAAGACGGCCCCACGATGGCCCCCAAAAAACCCACCATACGGCCAAGAGAGCCCCAAGACGGCCCAAGAGAGCCCCACGCCGGCCGAAGAGAGCCCCAAGACGGCACGAAAGACCCCAAGGAACCCAAAAGGAACCCCCAATGCTCCCTCACAGGAGGCCAAACCAGCCCCAAGACGGCCCAAACTACTTTCGTCATCACCATCATCATCATTATCATCATCATCATCATCATCATCATCATCATCATCATCATTACCACCACCACCACTACCATCATCATCATCAGCAGCAGCAGCATCATCATCATCCATCATCATCATCATCATCATCTTCTTCATCAGCATCATCATCATCGTCACCCTCATCATCCTCGTCCTCATCCTCATACACATACTCATCATCATCCTTATCCTCATCATCTTCATTATCATCACAATCACCATCCGCATTCTGATCAGCATCCTCATCATCCTACCCATCCTGATCAGAATCGTCATCATCATCATCATCATCATCATCGTCATCATTATGATCATCATCGTCATCAAAATCATCAGCACCATCATCATCAGCAGCATCATCATCCTCATCCTCGTCCTAATCATTATCCTCATCCTCATCCTCCTTCTCATCCTCTTCCTCGTCCTCGTCCTCGTCCTCGTCCTCCTCATCCTCCCCCTCCGCCTCATCATCATCATCATCATCATAATCATCATCATCATCATCGTCATCATGACCATAATCATTTTTTTCAAGGCAAACAAGCAGGGGAGAAGGAGGAATCCGCTGCCCCTCAAGGGGACTTTCCCTACCGCGAACCCGAACGAACACGACCAGGAGCACTAGAGGCAGAAAAAAGCAGCAATGGCCCGGACTCGGGTAGAACGTAACACTCGCGAAGAACCTGCACAAGCAGCAGGGTTGTCCTGCGAACGTGGCCGAAATTCTGACCGCAAACTCGTGCAGACAAGGGAGAAGGAGGAGGAGGAGACAGAGGAAAACCCAGATAGCCAATGATACGAATTCTCTTTAAGACGTATCCAACAGACTCGTTGAAAACGCCAGGGGGGAAATTCTGTACAAAACGGCCGTTTTGTACGGAATTTCCCCCGCGCCCTCCCAGGCGTCAGAAATCACATTCGCTCCTGCACGCCACGCAACTGAGACCGGTACACCCAAAGCGCATTGTCCCCAGCGCTCTGATGCCGAAGGTAAGCATGAGTTGTGTAACAGCTATACACATGGAGTGAAGCGGCCTTGTGAGAGGGGTGAGACGGGGAACAAAGTAAGAACTGGCGGAGCGACCAATTTGACAAATCAAGCTGCAAATAGCGACGGCCTGCCTCCACGAAGACCGGACAACACCAATAATGTTCGATCGAATCGGACCCTGAGGTCTTGCAGCAGACGCACGGGGCTTCCTTTTGAAAACGCCGTGCGGTTGTCCAGCCATTGAAAAGAGCATGAATACAGGCAGAGAGGACACACGGAGGAACCTGTCGTCGCAACGTGGACATGTTGCTTGCAGAACACTCCGCGCAGACGCGCAGTTTCGACGGTCCTAAAATGTGGCTCCACCTTTTCAGACGTCTTTGGATGGCCTGCACAGGGCACGCCGGAAACAAGCGGCCATGCAATTGCTTGTAAATCGCAGCTTGGTCGGCCCTAGCCTCACCGCGAACCGTAATCAATGAGACTCCCATTGTGTTGAGCCGGGTTTGTGCGCGATCCAAAACACGGACGGCCAAGCGATCAAGCCACGATTGCCACCTCCACAGCAGCGGAGCATGGTCACTCAAAGCAACGCGCTGCAATAAGCTGAAGCTGGTGCGCCAATCAGGGCATGTAGTAGACAAGGTCCTACCCGCAGAAGCCAGATGCAAGGCCGTCATAGACCGAAACGGCACTGGTAACCCAAGCCGGTCGAGATTGAATTCGTACTTCGGGGGCAGCCAGTTCCCTGGTCCAGCGACCAGTTTGCGAAGCATCGCACGCTCGGTCTTCAGGAGGTCAGCGGTCGGCTCGATCAGCTGCAAGACGAACCCCGGCACGCTGATGGCGATGGAGTTGTACTGCAATGCAGTGGCAGGCAAGCCGAGTGAAAGATATTTGATGTAATGGACTCTGCCCACATACTTGCGCATAGGTGCCAAGAGAGATAACGAGTCCGCTCCCGGGCCGAGGAAGAAACCGAGGTATTTGCCAGAAGAGTCACACAAGAACTCGCCCCAGAGAGGAATCTCTTCTTTGAGAAGCCGTGCGAAGCGTTCCAAAGAGATCGGCCACAAGGGAATGATCACGCATTTCCGAGGCTTGCTCTTGAGATTCGAAATGCGTGCGAACTCGTTGAAAAGGAATGCTGTGACAGGCCCGTCAATCCATAACCTCCCCAGTGTGATGGCGATGTCGTCGGCAAAAGCCCGCACTAGGCAGCGGTCGCCCAAGTTATGAACCAGTGCTCGAAGAAATGCGTCAATTGCTATAACGAACAGCGTAGGGCTGAGGGGGCAACCTTGCTTCACCCCAGAAGTAATGGTGAAAACTTCAGTTATTATCCCGCCAAATCGCCAAAAATGTGCGTTCCCACGATATAGCTGCTGCGCGGCCGTGATGATGGACACTGGAATTCCGATCGCTTCCAACGTCATCCACAGAAATGCTAAAGACAAGCTCGGAAATGCGGCGCCGAAGTCGTTCAGCAGACAAGCTGGGCACGGACTGCTAGGCCATGCTGCCGGCTGACCGGGTTCCTGCGAATCTCTAGCTAAAGCTGCGGTGGCCATATGGGTCTCCACCTCGATGACGTTGTCGAGTATTTGCCGGCCTTTGATAAATCCGCGCTGTGGGTCAGAGGCCCATTTGCCTACCGCGGGCTCCAGAATCCGGTTGATTGAAGCAGCAAGTATCTTGACATCAGAGTTGCCCAGTGACAGCGGGCGCGTGTCGGGCACGGATCGGAAGCCTGCGGGGCCCGAGGCTAGATCGTGACCTTTAGCAAGCAGGGCAAGCCACGCATAGTTGGCATCGCGAGGTAGCGGCGCGCCGGCTAGCCATGAAAGCAAGGCAGAATACAGTACACGTTGGCACCATTCGGGCGCATGCCGCCAAGCGCCGTAGGGCACGCCATCGGGCCCAGGGGCTGAGTCGGTGAAGCCAGAGAGAAGCTTGGAGAAGTCGTCGAACGAAATATCCCATTGAAGGCGCGGCAGCTGCACAGCGTACTTGTCCAGAAAGATTTTGCCTGCCTGCTCATCGACAGGCTGCGCGGTGAAAACTGGACCCCAGTAGTCAGCAACGGCAGCATGAGCGACCGTATTATCGGTAATTGGGAGACCCTGGTTGTCGATGAGACCTCGGAGGCCTCCACGCTGGCGCTTCGGTGAAAACTGAGCAGCCCACGCTATGAGTCCAGACCGCTTCCGGCTCTTGTAGAACTCCGGGAGGTCGGCAGCATCCTCCAGCTCCTGCAGTCGCTCCTCGGCCGTCGCCTGGCTGAGGCGCTGAATGAAGGACTCCACTTGAGAGAGCACTGAATGAGTCCAGCTCGAGGGGCAGCAGTTGCCAAGAATGTCCTGGAGGTCGGAGCAGACGCCGGCTGCAGAGAGGGCCTGCTGAATACAACCGTTGTGCACAGAGCGAAGAAATTTCAGACACCACCAAAGCTTCTCCTCGGAGGTGCGGGCACCATGGTGTTGAGCCCTACGTTTGACCTCGGAGCTGGCCTTGTGGAAGAGGCGCTTCATCTCGACCTCATCGCCCCATTTGTCGGCAGTCTGTGCAAAGCGGAGCTCATCAAGCACGATGCCCCACAGTGGGTGCCGAGGTACCCAACTTGGAATAATTGGGGATCGAGTTGGGCTGCTACGCTGCCGCCAAGTGAAGAAGACGGGAGTGTGGTCGCTCAAGTCGAAGCGGGGGAGCGCGGCAAGTCCAGGAGAGGCAACGCGAACGTCAAGATTGCTTAGGAGAGAGCTCGGTAGCGATGTAAATATGCGGTCGATCCGGCTGTACTGAAGATGTCCTGCAGCATCAACCCCTTTCCACGTGAAATCGTCCTGCATCAGCTCGGTGAGCAGCTCAAGACATGGCAGCGTGTCAAAGGTGTCCCGTACGACGGTGCCAGTGAAGGTACCAGTGGTGACATCAAACCGGTCGGACTCGCATGCAACCGAATTGAAGTCCCCAAGAAGAATGAGAGTGGCCTCAGAATAGGTACGAACCACCGAAGACAACTCTTCTAGTAGCTGTTGCCGGTCTCCCTCAACATGCACACCACATATCACCAGATGCCCCCGCGACCCAAGCAGAGACAGAGTACAGAGTCGACCAACGATACGTGGATTGAAGTTGATCTCTGGGAAGTCGGCGAGGAAGGTGCTCTTGACCGCAATCCCGATCCCCCCAGCATTCGGGGCAGCGTCAGAGTCACACCAGAAGAAACGATGGTCCCCACAAAGCTTCCGCTCAAGAGTTCTGCTTCTCTTCTGGGCAGAATGGGCCTCGAGGAAAATGGTGAAGTCGTGGCGGTAGGCGAGGTTTACGGCGTACCTGGATTTGAGTTTCCTGCGTTGCGGGTCCACGCAACACAAGCCCCGTGCATTCCAGACGCACCCGGAGAGGTCGCCCGAGAAATAGTTGGAGTAGGCAGCACGGGAAGAAGAACGAAAAGTAGGAGGAAGAGGGTCAAAAGGCAAAGCTCCCTGCTCTCTGAGCGGACGCGTTGAAGAACACGTGGCTGTCGGAGCTTGTCCCGGAGAGCGTGCCTGAGGAGTCGCGTCGCTCCCTCTGCGTGCCCGCGTCGATGAACACGAGGCCCCCGGCGCAGAAGGAATTGAGAAAAAAGTGGAGGATGCGTGCACAGATCCCGATAAATTAGTCGAATTCTCCGGCCATGCCGGAAGATGCATGTCATCATGCTCTTCTGCATCGTCACGCCGCCGTGGGCGCCATCAGCGTGAACGCCGCTGCGAATCCACCTCGGAGGCCATCGAGGCCGCCGTCTCTGGGGAAAGCTCCACCTTGTCGAGCCCGTTGGTGTGCACGCGGGTGGAGACGCCGTCTTCGAGAACCGTGAAGATCGTGATCAGCTGCCCCATGCCGCCAACGTCGACGAACACCTCACCCTTGCCACGTCGACACCCGACCTGGCCGTGGAGGCCTTTTGTAGTCATGTGCTGTTCCAACTTCTGCCATAACTGTGAGATTACCCATCCCCGGACGCGTTCATCGGGTGACCGGTCCCATTGAAGCGAAAGTGGAATAGATTCCGAACCAATAGTAATCCGTGGGCCAGCGCGGATGGACTCTTCGAGGATGGCCTTCGCCGAAGCGGAGTCGTTGAAGATGAGGCGCGCGTGCTTGGTGTTGCTGGCGGCGCGGATTTGGGGGAGCGGAGTGTTCGGTGAAAGCGACTGGAAGACCGTTTCAGCATGCTTGACCAGCGTCTTGGACCACATGGGACATG